GAATTAGGGCCTGCTCTTCCAGCATGATGCTGTGACAGTGGGCCCTGGGGAGAGATGAGATTTATGGAAAGACTAAGGTGAAAGGACATGTAGATTTGTGGCTCTGACTACATCAACAACTGTTTGGTTAGCACTTAGCATTTCCATGGGAGTCTGGTGTGTGCTCTGGCCAGCTTCTGGACAGAAGAAACTGCTTCAAAATCTCAAGGTTCCCTTCTCCTTTCAGCATGTCAGTTGTTGCCTTTAGAGTTCAGCGAGTAACAGTGACAAGATGAAATGAATGCTGTGTTGCCATAGATACCTGAAAATGCCAAGGATGAAGACATAGGGGCAGAGGGGGAGATGAGAAGGCTCTGGAGAAAGTCTGCTAAAAGGGGGTTTCTGAAAAAGGAAAGCTTGGGAGAGAGAGGACAGACAAGGGACCTCTAGAGTCAGAGCTTAGGGGAATGAAAGGTCTGATGTTTGGGGGCTGGCTGGTATAGGAAAACAGACAAAGGACAGTAAGGAATTGGTCAAACAGACTACTGTGAGGAAAATAAAGAGATTTGAAACAAAATGAGAAGTTTTCCGTATTATTTCTGTGTTTGTCTACTCACTGAGCTTTGTTATGTAACAGAGTATTAATCTCCACTCCAACAGAACACAAGTCTTTGTATTCGGCTCTGTACTTAGATTCTTATAGACTAACTTCTTGGAAAACTGGATAAATACGTTTAATATTCCGTTTTCCTATTAGCATTTTCCCAAGTAAACAAACAATGACTAAAGAGCTATACTGGAAAATTTTCTGCCTGCTTTTTGTCTCCCACATGGCATTTTAGAAAGTGTTTCATTAGGCTGCTTGGCAAACACAACCGCAGGGCCTTCCCCAGCTGGCGTGCAGCAGGCTCCCTCATTTTCTTCTGCAGGTGTGCCTTCTCTCTCCTAGACTTGGCCTCTAGTTCACAGTCACCATATCAACTCTCTGCCCTTGCAGGGAAGTGCCAGAAGCAAGGCCTCCTCTGCCAATTCTCCATTCCAAAGGCAGTCTGCTTTCTCCCATCACTAAAGACCCAGGACACAGAAGTTCACTTGAATAAATTCTGGGTCTGTTGGTGAAAGTAAGAAATAAAAAGCTTTTGTCAACTGTGTAGCTCACAAGAGTGTGTTGTAGTTGTTCTTAGGTGACACTGAGTAACCTGTGACCCTCAGCAACCCTGTGTAAAGGAGCTCTGAACCCTGTCCTCTCCTGAGTGACTATGTACATCATCTCTGAACCTTGCCCTATCCTGAGCCAGGTTCACCAATTCTGACCATCAACTCCCATTGTCCCAGTTATTGTCAATCCATCTCATCTGGGGTCTTCCTCTTCTGCACTGTGCCTCCACCCTTCTGAGCATGATGTTCTTCTCCAAGGATTGGTCCCTCCTGGCCACATGTCCAAAGTATGTGAGACGGAGCTTCAAAATCCTAGCCTTAGGAGTAACTAGGTTTGTTCAAGAACTCTTCTCCAGCACCACAATTCAAACGTATCAATTCTTCTTCTGTCATCTTTAGTCACTGTCCAGGTCTCTGATGCATAGCAAGTAATTGTGAAGACCATGGCCTCGATCAGGTGCATGTTAGTCTCTAATCTGACAGAATTTCTTTTCAGTTCTCTATTCCTATTATGTAAAAATATCCAATTGACCCTTCATGGTTAGAATAAGGGAACTCTTCCAGCATAGGTGATAAATGCCCCACTACCCTCATTTTTTACATCTCAATTTATGGGATAGACTAGAGCTAATGGGATAAACTGAAGATGAACTCTGGATCATTGTTTCTCATAGAGTTTCTAGAGGCATGTTCTTTAGGAAGTAGATGCCCCTCCTGATTCCAAATCTGTCTTAAACTGGAGCTCTACCAAACACTGTCCACCATGGGAAACTATTATGGCATTTGATACTCCAGTGGCACAAGGTTCAGCCTCACTGTAACCCCAGGTTATCTCAGTACAGCAAATTGACAGAAGAGTGCTGTACCACTTAGGAGAATGTTCCTCCAAAATATAACAACTGACTTTTAAATGCAAAGGCCCTCCATGAAGTCTTGCTGACTCTAAACAAGAGGCTTTAATAAAAAACCAATATAATACGTTGTTGTCGTTTTGTGCCGTCACCTCACTTGTGACCCATAGTGACCCTATGTACAGCAGCTCTGAACCCTTCCCAGTCCTGAGCCAGTCTCACAAATTCTAACACACCAACCCCCACTATACCAGTTACTGTACCAATTCACCTCATCTGGGGTCTTCCTCTCCTGTGCTGTCCCTCCACCCTTCCAAGCATGATGTCCTTCTCCAAGGACCAGTCTCTCCTGTCTACATGCTCAAAGTATGTAAAACAGAGCTTCAGAATCCTAGCCTTCAAGGAGAGACTTGGTTATACCCTCTCCAAGACAGATCTATTTGTTTTTTGTTTTCTTGGCAGACCATGGTATCTTCAAGACTCTTCTCTAGCACCACAACTCGAAGGCATAGATTCTTCTGTCATCCTTAGTCGTTGTCAGGCTCTCTGAAGCATGACAAATCATTGTGAAGAACCACGGCCTAGAGTAGGCACACCTTAGCCTCTAGACTGACATGGTTCCTTTTTAGCACTCTGGAGATGTTCCTGATAGCATGACTGCATAAAAACATTAGATGTTCTAGTTAATACTAATTTGGATTAGATAAAATTCTCATTGAAAGAAAAAATGAACAAAACATACTAGTAATTGACTCAACTCACCGCTATCTAGTTAACTCTGACTCGTAACAACCCTCCCTCAGGTTTTCCTGACTGTAAATCACATCCAGAAAAGACTGCTCATCTTTCTCCCTTGGAGCAACTGGAGGATTTCAACCTCTGGAGAATTACAACTATAAAGTTAGCAGCTGACCTCACTACAGACGAAGGACCATATTTCCTCAGTATAATTAATAGCAAAGGGCAAGACCAGTGTTGTTGGATGCCATGAAGTTGGGCCCCACCCAGAGCAACCCTATGTATAAAGACAGGAAAACCTCGCCTGACCCGGCCCCATCCTCACAACCTCTGCTGTACTAAAATGCAGTGTCGCAACTACACTAGCAAGAGAGTAAGGTTCTTCCTCTCCCTTCTCCAAGGACTGGTAGCTCAGGATAATATGTCCAAAGTATACCAGATGAAATCACACTATCCTTGCTTCTGTGGAACTCTGGCTAAACGTGTTTATTCTTCTACAGTAAGTACATCATTGTATGTCCAATATGCTTCACAAACACCATAAATCAAAGGCATTAATTCTTCAATCTCCATTATTCAATGTCCAACTTTGGTACACATACAAAGCAACTGAAAAATGCCATGGCTTAGGTCAGGCTTGCTCAGCTCTCAGAGTGTACTGCACTGCGATCCCAGACGCACATGGTTTAAATCCACCGGCTGCTGTGTAGGAGATGGAGAATCAACTATGGGTTGGTTCTAACCTGACAGTATCACCACCACACACATCACATACATACACACAACCCGTACGTACGGATATATATACTGACATAAATGTATATGTATATGCATACACACATATGCCACATACATAATGTTGTTGTTATTGTTAGATGCCATTGAGTCAAGTACTACTCATAGTGACCCTACCAAAAAAAGATCTGAACCTAGTCCTGTCCTGCACCATCCTCGCACTTCTGACACACAAGAGCCTATTACAGCAGTCACCTTGTCAACCTACCTGGTTGAGGATCTTCTTTTCCTTCCCCGACCGTCCGCCCTTCCCAACACCATGTCCCTCTCTGAGGAATAGCACCTTCTAGCAATATGTCCAAAGTCTGTAAAATAAAGCCTCGTCATCCCTGCCTCCAAAGAATACTCTGGCTGCATCCTCTCCAAGACAACTACTACTCATTTACATCAAGTCAGAACCAATGTATAGCTGCCCCTCCAGAGGGTTTCTGGTGCTGTAAATTACATGAGAGATTACCCTTAGAGTGGTTGGTGAATTTAAACCACCAGAAAGTCTGTAGACTTTGAATTTACAGTGCAAAGTCCTATGAACTACACGGATAGATTGCTGTTTTGTGCCCTCTAGTTGGAACTGACTCATAGATGAACCTCCAGTAGGAGAGGCAGTACATCATACAGGAGATTTTTTTCATCCTTCTCCCATAGACAGATAGATAAATAGACTGAAAAACAGATAGACATAGATAGAGAGCTAGTTAGATCTCTATAGATTTCCAGAATCTGCTTAGAAAGCTTGACTACTCATTTTCGTGATTCCTAAGTTTGAATTTTTTCTCGTTTTTCATATTCTGCCTAGTGAAGGCCAGCTGGCTAAACATTTTAACCCATTACTTTCAATATGAGCTAAATAAACAGAAGAATACAAGAACAACTTTTTATCTCTCTGGGATTTTTAGCATGCACAACAAAACAGATACTATCCCAAGTGATACTTAACATAGCTATCTTTCTCAAAATAATATGAAGTTCAAAGACAATTTATTATATACGTTTCTTGGACAGTTTAATTCCCTTTGTTTTAGCCAGGTCAGATAGCACTATCTGTGTCACTCCTCTTAAAAGTGTGTGGTGATGTTATCAAGCTCACAAAATGCTGTTTGTCTCTATTCTGGAGAGAGGCAGGAGAAAAGCTTCCATCACAGAGCCCCACCTCTAGCCACGCTTCCTTACATTTCCATCTGAAAGCTACTTTCTACTTTCAACCTCCACTACATCACACAACTCTAAGATATCAACTACAGTACACCATTTCTTCACTTTTGTCACCATCATTTAAACTACTTCTGTTTCAACCTGCTCAAACAGGCCCTCTCTGCAAACAACAAAGTGTCATCAGTGAAAACCACATCAAAACACCTTGGGAAAGTGGGAGTGCAAACAGGGCAACATCAACATTGTTACTTAAATTATGTTTGAAAGATCCTTTCAAGTCACAGACATTCGAAGAAAGTCAGTTCGAGCATTCTAATCTCTTCCTACCTGCCTCTTTGGAAATCTGCATGAAGGATTCCACACCTTTCTCTCCATAACTTCCTTCAGACGCAAGAGTGGACACGTAATTCCACCCCAAGGCCTTGACAATGTCCACCATGGCCTGGGCTTGAAAGGAGTCTGGTGGGACCACTCGGGAGAAGAAGTCATAGCGCCGGTCGTCACTTAACTCGGGTGCCGTGGATGCATAGCTAATCTGAGGGATCTGTAAAGAGAAGAAAGCATCACATGAGAGCACGCCATCAGGACCCTGGAGGTCGTTCATGCTGGTGACAGCTCAGGTCAGGTATGACGTGGGCACCAGAGGAAGGCCATGTGCAAGCACAGCCCATCTGCACAGGTCACCTCAGGACACCCAGGCTCTGAGCACCTTCCTTATTGCCTCGCCTTCTTCTCCTCTCAGGAAGAGGAGATGAGGATGTTGAGGTTTTTAAGCCATGCTGTTTAGGAAAAAAGAACACAGAACCATCCTAGCTAAGATTTTTATGTGCTACGTTGCTTTTCACAAATGAATGGAAAAGCAAAATACAAAAGCCTCCCTATAGAGAAGAAAAGGTTAGTAGGTGAAGTCGTTGTTATGTGCCATCGAGTCACTTGCGACTCATAGTGACCCTATGTACAAGAGCTCTATACGTTCTTCTATCCTATGCCAACCTAGCCATCTCAAAAGCACTTATTCCCACCTCTCCAGTCACAGAATCGATCCATCTCATCAAAGGTCTTCCTCTCCTTCACCTCCCCTCCACTCAGACAAATACGATGTCCCTCTCCAAGGCCCAGTCCCTCCTTGCAACATGCCCAAAATATGTCAGATTATGCTTCAGAATCCTTGACTCCAGGGAACATTCTGGCTTCACCCTCTCCAGGACAAATCTGTCTGTTCTCCTAGCAGTCCATGGTATATTCAACACTCTTCTACAGCACCACAGCTCAAAGGCATCAATTCTATCAGCCCTATTCACTGTTCAACTCTCTGATGCATAGCATATAATTGCAACTATAGCCTGGATCAGGCGCACCTTAGTCTCCAGTCTGACATTGTTGCTCTTCAGTACGCTTGAGAGGTCCCTCACAGCTGACTTTCCCAATGCAATTCGTCTCTTGATTTCCTGGCAGCTGTTACCAAGAGTGTTGACTGTGGAGCCAAGTAAATTAGAACTGTTAACTACCTTAATCTCTTCACCATCCATACTGATGCTACCAGTTGGCCCAGTGGTGAGAATCTTTGTTTTCTGTGAATACTGCCAGTGCTTATCAGTCATCCACAGTGATTGAGTGCTCACAGCCCTTGATATCCAAGCAAGTGGGCTTCATTCTCTCCTCTGTTTCGCCTAAGAACATTCTCTGGTAGCTTAATCCAAGTCACTGACTTAGACAGAAGGTCCTCTGGACCATGGCTTTCTTCTCAGTGATCCCTGAGTCAGACAAGGTTTCAATACGTATTATTTGTGGCCCTCCGTGCGCTGGACAGAGATGGCAGCCCTATGTGGGCTGCAGAGCCAGTGACCCACATTGTGGCACTTCAGAGTAAGTCCTCTCTCCTTCTGCCCCACGTGGCATCAGCCAGGTACCCCAAGGAACTACAGGACCTGTGTCTGTGGGGTCAGCCTAGGTTCTAGGAGAGCAGCACAGGGGGTGTGAATTGCTCCCTGAGGTATAATCTACTCTTTTTCTCCTCCTTTTTTAAAATTGAGATTTTAATGGAAGTTAATAGAGAACCTGGATTTCCATTCACTCATTGTTACACATTTTTCCTCCCTGTCCACCCATCTCCAGTTTGCTTTTCTCTTTGAAAACAAAATTGTACAAAAAATTGTTGTACAATCCACCCCCTCTCCACTTTATTATCCAGCTCTTTTCCTGGGCTGCTGTCATGAAAAGAATACTTAATCATATATTCCTTTTAAGCAGCTCTCTTCCTCATCTGTTTCAATGCAGTGTATATTACTTATCCCCTCTTTCCCTAGTTTCCCACCACCATCCTGATGTCAGTCCTGTTTAAAACAGTGGCATTGTACAATGTTTGTCCTTTCGTGACTGGGATATTTCACTCAGTATAATTGCTGAGGTCTTGTGAAACTGAGCTATGGAAGGGGGTCCTGACACACTGATTCTCACCAACTCAGAGTGTTACTTACATGGACAGGGATACTGCAGAAATACACCTGTACAGGTTTCCAAAGTAGCCCAGAACAAGGATGCTGGCTGAGGGTCAGCTTTAGGACAGCTGCTCATCTGAAGGCTAAGGCTTCCCCACCTCTTCATTCTCAAGCTGTCCTTTGAACATTTGCACATAATAGAGTTGATAAAATTGGCTTGCCCTTTAGAATTATGAACTGTCAAAATTCCTATTTATGAATGAAACATGATCTTGACTCAGGTCACAAAACTGTTAGCAAGAATGCCAGGATTCAAACATGAAACTGATAGATACAAGAATTTGACCTCAAGAGCATTTTATTTAATGAATGACTGTTAAAATATCTTACTGCTTGTTATAAAGCAAAACAGTAATGGAGTCTTATAGTCCATTAATTACATTTGCCACTCTAGGACTGCTAGGTGAACATTCTATATAAATTATTGTTAAAGTTCAGGCAGTTATTGTAATCAATACAAAGAGTTTCCTGTGTACTATTTACAGTTTTGGAGGAGTAAATATTCAGCAAAGAAAAAAAAAATTAATAGATGTGTGGGACAAGCATCCAAAGAAACAGAGCAGGAAACGGAGAGGGAAAGAAGAAAAGAAGAGGAAAACAGACCTTGTCCTCCCTTGAAGAGAAATAAGAAGCTGCCGCATATGTTCACACATTTCCATCAATTTGAGCTCCTGGAAACCTGAAGGCTGCATCCTTCTGGCTCAGATGCCTCCCCACTCAATCCTGTTCCCCAGAAGAAAGCTGGCAAAGCCATGTCCAATGTTCATGCTTGAGTCTGTGTTTATGAAGCTACTATAAGCCATCAGAACTGTGAAATGCTCCCAATGCATTTCTCAAACTGGGATCCAAATTTGAGTCATGAAATCCCTGGTAAAAAAATATTTCTTTGCTCACTGTCATACACATTTTTAAAATGAAGACAATTTGTGGTCAAACCCTTCCTTAATAAACAAGAAATATCCTGTTTAAGAAGTGGATTTTCCCTGTAGGATAATGCACATGCTCTCTATTTCAGGGCACTTATCTTGACACTGCATATAGTGGTGCTAAAATAAGAAATGAAAGAGCAGATGGATTTCACTTATGAGAAAAAAATGTCTGCAGGAGACTATTCCTCCCAGCAATAAATATGAAGAACTGAAAGCATTGGTGTTGTCTATGAAAGATGCTGCTGCATATTTAGCAGTTTCGTTGTTGTTCTAAATATATACTTAATCATTTCCAAACTAATGTCTCCGCCTCCATAGTGAATACACTGAGGTGTGTTGTAACAGGTCTTCAGGGCTGATCAAACAAATGATCAGTTCTTATCTCTTGGGACTGACATCTACACATATTCACATATCTCTTTATGCTACTAAAATCTTCCCTATTGCCAACCTCCTATGGAAGTAGGAACTACTTTTTGACAAAGATAATTAAAACTTCACCTATACAAAAACAGATAATTATCTTTGACATTCTTTCCTACAATTAAAAAGTATTTCAATCCTTTACCATAGAATAAAATGTAATTTTTAGCTTAGGATGCTTTTCTCTTACTTCATAAAAATTTACTTATCACACAAAAATATTTTTTAATGATAAAGATAAAAAACATTTAAAAGCAATTATGTGTAAAGGATGGGCTGATGCCTTTTTCTTAACAATAAAATGAACAATATAGATAATTTTTGTTTCTCCATATTTTTCATAAAACAATACGTTAGTATTTATGCCTGAGTCCCTTTTGTCTTATTTCCTTACTGCTGCTATTGCAGAAACACGGTAACTGGGCACCTTAGTGAATATAAATTCAATTTCTTACAATTTAGGAGAATGGAATTCTGAAACCAGAATGCTTGCTCTAAAGGAGACTCTGTCTGCCGGCTTCCCTCTGTCTTCCTTATTCTTCCTTAGTGTCTCCACATGGCACTGTCTTAACTTCACGTGTGCATTCCTGCTTCTGAGCTGCTCACGGCCACCTGGGGTCGGTGCAGGGCCGCTCAGGGCCTGGTGCCACCTCACAAGTCTGCTGGAACACATGGTTCCTGCCACTGCGTCAGTCCATCTCAGGGAGGCCTTCTGCTTTGCCCCAACTCCTACTTTATGGTCTAGCTCTCCAGTAACCAGCCTGTGCTGCTACGTGAGAGGGAATCCTGTCACTGTGCTCTGTAGAATTCAAGACAGACATGTCTGAGATTTTGTTTAGCCTTGCTTTTTGTCTTGTTTTGATTTGGGCAGCTAACGATACAGTAAATATTTTATGTAGCGCTACATATCAAAGACATCAATTCTAATCTGGTCTTTATTATCCAAGTTTCACAAACATATGAAGTAACTGAAAAAACCATGGTCTGGGTCAGGTGTGCCTTAGTCTTTAAAATGGCATCCTTGCTGCACAGCACTTTACAGAGACTTTTCAGAGCACATTTACAATGAAGTATGTAATCTTACTTCTTGACTGATGCTTCCATGGGTATTGCTTGTGAATACAAGTAAATCTTTGATAACTTCAGTCTTTTCTCCATCTATTTTTATATTGCGTATTGACCTATCCTGAGGATTATTTTTCTTCCTTCCTTCCTTTCTTTTTAAAGTCCAGGTAAAACTCACAGTGAAGTGTGCGATTCAAATCCACCAGCTATTGCATGGAAGGAGGGGCGGTCTTTTCTTATGTGATTTGCCTCTGAAATCTCACTGGAGGGTCAACTGTGACTCAGTTTTTATTCAAAGGCACAGAACAACAACAAGCACCCACACTGAATACTGCTGTCTTAAAGCTTCATCAGGGTTTCAAATCTTCATTTTCTGTGAGATTATCTTCTCTGCATATGGCAAGTTGTTAATTATTCTTCCTCCGATCCTGATGCCAAGTATGTCTTTATATAGTCCAGTTTTTCGGATTTTTACCTAGCAGGCAGATTGAAAGGAATAGTCACTGAATAGGCCCTTATCACACACGTTTACTGTAGTGTTTCTTTGTTCCACTTGAATGACTACTTCGTGGTCTACATACAAGGTCTTTGTGAGCACAAAAAGTTTTCTTGAATTCCCAATTTCGAAA